GGGGGGTTGAGCAAAGTTCGGCAAGGGGATGCTAAAGTGGCCTCAGCCTGAGCCGCTGAGTGGCCTGGGGTCCCCGAGTCTCCAGCTACTCCCAAAGCTGAGAGCGTTTATTGGATACCTAAATCAAGCGTGGGAGGCCATTTAGCAGCCCCAGGCACCAGAGCCTACTTATAGTCTGGCATTCTCTATCCTTGTTCATCCCGATGTGAATCCAGGTTCTGCGCTGAAGTTGTACAGGGGGAAATGGTTGCACTGTTAATGTTTTAAGTTTAATAAGCTCTGTGGTCCAAACAGTGTTTCCCAGGTGTGTTTGAAGAGGTTTTGGGGTCTTTTGTTTTCTAGCGGGAAATGAAAATGTTACTCTGGTGCTTTATTAGGAAGTGGAGTTGGAGAGCAGGGAGTGGAAATTTCTTGAATTTTTCTGGACAGCCTAAGTTCTGAGTTTTCCTATTTGTTGTAAGAAAGACAGTTATCTAGCTAAAACTCTAGCTAATGCTTCAGATAAAAAGGCGACCCTGAATTGTAAAAACAGAACAAGACTTTTTCCTTCATAAAACTGTTGTATATTGGGGTGACTGATACTTTAATTTATGTGCTTTAGAAAAGGGATGAAATGGAACAGATTGTGGACTTGTGGTTTTTTCAGATGTCAGACATACATACACAAAAAATGTACATCTTAGTTGCCTGGAATTTAAAAAATAATATTTACAAGCTATTAAAGGCATGATTACTGATCACCCTTTATTTCTATCTCTGTTTTTTCCCCTCTTGCTTTTCTGGATAGCCAGATTCCGCGCAGTGCTCAATTCTTTCTCTCCTTTGCCAACCAGTTTCAGCAGATGGAGAGATGAGCACTTTCTTCAGAGCTAATGCACTCTGCAAGCATCACATCTGCCGCCCTGGCTGGCAGGGGGCCTGGCAACCCAGGCTGCAGTCCAGCTTAGCCTGACTGCGATCGTCACCCCCAGCCCCGTGGGCAGCGCTTGCTATCAGTGGTAGCTTGTGTGTCGATAAAAGACCTTCTCCAGAATCACAGTCCTCAGAGCTAGTCATTTAGGTCTGATCTTCTGAGATCTGGAGCCTGAAACCAAAGGGCGCTTGGCTGTGCTCTGAGCTCCCGGGGTGGGGCTGTCTCCAGGGCCGGATTAACACAGAGACACGTGTCCATTGCCTCAGCCTCTGGAGTCATGTGAAAACATCGGGCTTCCAGCCTGCGCTTGGAAAAAGTGTCTAATGGTGTATTGCTGGGGAATGCCTGCCCTTGACAATGTGAGCGTAACCCACGCAGAGGTGCTCTGCGCATCTGTGGAAATAGCGCTGTAAGCTGCTCTCGTCTGCACAGTCTGGACACAGAAGAGTAGTTGAAGACATCAAAACCTGGCTGTAATACGAGGAGTGAGGTTACACCCATACCGCGGTGTTTGCGTAGGCAGAAATGTGGCAGGTCAACAAGGAACAGGGCGATGGGCCGCATCCCTGCAAAGGCAGCCTTTTTCAGTGTGAGCAGCCAGCAGGCCACAGGGCTAAGCGGTGAGGAGGGCTTGTGAAAAAGGTGTGTGCGTGTGCACGTGTGTCTGCCAGAGATGAAAGAAAGGAGTGGTCTTACAGTAAAAAGACATCTGCACTTCGCAGCTTATCATACAAGAAGCTGATCCTGAAGTAAATATTGCCACCGCACCTCAAAGTAATTGTCTTCCCCAAGCTCAGCTTGTTTAGCTTTTTGAAAGAAGAAAAAAGCAAAAAATGGTGAAGGTGAAACTAAGCACCATAATAATATTTCACAGCAGGCGGGGACACATCCCTCATTAAAGGAAAATGAGGTCTTTTCTAGTGCAATTTTGAAATAATGATAGAACTTCCAATCTCTTTTGGTGCATTCAGTCAAGGTGGTTTTTCTGCCTAAGCAACTGCTCCCACAAGAACTCACAATTTCTCTGAAATTAATATCTCGGGGAGCTGTGTGATTGCAGGACACGGTTCATCAGAGTGAGGAGAGGGAAGACGTCTGTAGTCTGGAGAGAGAAAGAAGCTGGAGGATGCTTGGGCTGCAGTCCCTCCATTCCAATCCCCACCCAGCATTCAGGGGGGTTTGGATCGTACGAACGAATCTCTGCCAAGACGCAATGTTTGATCCTGCACGTAAAACCTCATTGGATACAGCAGAGTGCCAGGAATCTTTGAACCATAAGCTTCTGTCCTGGGATTTGGGCAGCTTGTGCCACTAAGAGAAATCTGATGAGAAGCGGGAACAGCCTCCCCTGTCTGTAATGGCATGTATGCCAGCAGGTGTGAACCCGGGGGGCCGATGCAGGACTCTGGCCTTCAAGAAACGTGGGCGTTAAGACCGCTTGAGCCTCTTAATCTGCATGCTCTGGGGACAAGATCAGATGAGAAAGAAAGAATGACTTGGACCTTGGAATCTAATGATAAAAGCACTCACACGAGGGAGAGGAGATCTGGATCCCATTTGTTCTCTAGTGCGTGCTTTGCTCTTGTCGATGAAATTGGAGCAGGGCTGAGAGAACCCAGACCTCCTTCTAAAGGGTGCAGTGATGTTTGATGAGCAGAGAGGCTTTTTCTCTGGGCCAACAAATGCTTCATTCTTCTGTCTGAAGCAGAAGCACTTCAACATTTTGGCTGGAAGCACCTTCCTGCAGAATGTCTTATGCCTGGCGGTAAAGGTGGTTATGAGGCAGAGGGGATATGGGTTTTGGTCTCTGTGACATGAAAGGGAATTGCACCTAGCTCTCCCCTTTCTTGACTAAGCATTCTTGCATAAAAATATAGGTTTCCATGGCCGCCTACCAGTTTTGGACTTGCATTTTGGCACCTGCCACTTTCCCTATGTGGAGCTCACGCTGCATTTGCCTTGAGCATCACCCACTGGACTTGTACACGCTGTCTGCAGCTGAACAGTATCAAGCAGCTGAGGACTATATAGACCATAAGGATTCGTTGCATTTACTGCCAAGCAGTGATCTGAAAGCCTGTTTCATAGCTCTTACGCTGATGAACCTAAAGTGGCCAGTTGCTTTTCTGTCAGAGCAGAGAGCTGGCTCCTAAGGGCCTTCACTGCTGGAGCCTAAGTCCTGGAACTGCTGGTTATGTCAGTTTTTGGCGTAAATGCAGGCCCAGTCTCAGGAACTGACATGTTCCCCTTTCCAGCCAGCACCTTAACAGAGAGCTCAGCCAGTCTTCCTACCTGTTCAGAGCAAACCCAGGGCCCTGCTCCCACTGAGCGACAAGCCCAGTGAGCTATGGAGCTCCTGGCTCAGGCCCGCCGCATAGGTATTCCACACCCGCGTGCCAAGCGGAGCAGCACCAGCTGTTAAGACTGGACGTGAGGCGTCCCAGAGCCTCCAGTGAGAGGTCCAGCCCCATAGCGAGAGAAGCAAGCCCTGGGGAAGAGAAGGAGCTGAAGTCACTGCCAGCCCAGCCCGTGCTGAAGGGGAGCCTTGCCTCCAGCAAAGGCTGGAATCCCTCAGCCTGCGGTGCGTGAGGCCACAAGGCAGCAGCAGTCCGAGCCAGCTCCAAGCATGGTTGGTGCTGGGCAGGCAACGCAGGACAAGGCTAAGGGAAAACCCAGGACAAAGTTAGCAGTTTTGGCTGTGTGGTTCAGCTGTAAGCCAAGCATCTCACAGGGCCGTGACTTGGCCCGGCTGCCCCGAGAGCCCCGGGGAGAGGCAGGCGGTGAGCCCAGCCCTCCTGACTCACTGCCCTGCACCACAGCGCGCTGGCCCCTCTTTCCAGGAATGTGAAAGGAGGAAAAACAATCAAACCCCTTCCTATGGCATCGGTTGTGAGTGGCTTTGCAAAGCCACAGTAAAAATAACCTTTTCCACCTCAGGCTGTGTCACAGCACAAGTGGCAGGAGCACGGGGAAAGCCTGTGCCCAGGGTGCAGCGCCAAGCTATGGCCATGCCCAGCTCTGCCACTGCAGGGAGGGGGCTCCCCCCCAACACCCACACCTAGCTGGCTTAGTATTGACTGGGGTTACTGGGCATGGGGACAGCTGAACACTGTAATTCACCATTGCTACAAGAGCCCCATGGCTGTTTTTCATCACGGTATGGCACCAGCAACAGCTGGGAGGGCTTTGCTACTGAGCCTTAGCCCCAGGAAAGCATGGCACTGCCCTGGCCATCTGTGAGACTTCAGATATCCACTGTGGTGTAGCACATGCGTTACGGTTCAGGTGTGTGCTCCATGCCGCCTCAACCTCCTCCCTCCCTTGGTGTGCCGGTT